ACACACACACACACACACACACACACACACACACACACACACACGGGTTGTTTATTATCACTGTGACCTAAAGCAGGAAACTCAACACGAGCTCACATATTTTAACGGCTACCACGAAGCACCACACTGCTCTTCCTAAAATTCAACATCAGGGTCAGATTCTGACGACAGGCGGCTAACACAACAGCGCTTCAGTCTACGGGACGACAGAGGGGGACAAAAAGTTGCGTACGTCATCGTCTCCGATTTGTCCTCCGGTGCACAAAAAAGTCTTTCAACGACAAAAAGAAAAGGTTTGTAAGTATGCCAAATGTTTTGTTGTAAAATCACGAGTAACAAATTACTAATGAGCTGACACTGGGGCTAGAAACTATTTATACTTTAAGAGACAACTGCAACTAAATTCAGCCCAGTTTTAACCTAAATGTTATTCTACCTGCAAATCACCAAATAATGTATTACTTTGTATTCGACTATGAAAATCTATGAATATCTTAAGAGTATTCACCTTTTCCCCAGTGAAAGATGCCTAAAGGGGAGAAACCCAAACATGTGACAGCAACACCAAAGAGACAAAAACAACAAAGCACCACGAGTCCCGGCTGGCAGCTTGTTAGAAACTCAGCATCACATAACGAAGTCTTTCATATTTAGTATTTTTTTAATTCAAAGCATCTTACCCAGTTTTTCTTGTTCTTCTTCTTGTTTTTTGCGTCGGTGTCCATGTTGGAGCCCACACTGGAGTGGCTGGTCGCGCTGGCGACGCTGCTGACGCTGTCAGAGGAGTGCTGCCTCCTGATGCGCAGGTCTGGCTGCTGGTTGTGCTGCTGTGGACTGCCGTTACTGCCGGCTGACGGGAGACAGGACATGTATGTGTTTGTCAAACATCAGGCTGAAATATGTCTTTCATTAAATATCAGATATCAACTTGTCAGTGTAGTCCACTTCTGATATGATAAAGGTTTTCCATTGACTACAGGAAAACAGGCTCCACATTCGTGAAGTCGGTCCGTACCTGTCCTGTCCCTTTTAGGCGCGAGCTCAGGTGTATTGATTACTCCGTTGATGGCAGCCTGAGCAACAGCGTTCTGCTTCTTCAGCAGCTCGATGGTCTTCCTCAACTCGTTCAGCTCAGAGTCCTACACGGAGGAAAGGACAAGCGTATCGAACCAATACATCGTCCGCAGTGACGTTGAATGTGCACTTTAATTAGTGTACAGCACAGTCTGTTATAAACCAAGAGGAGCTGTTTTTTACCTTCTGCTCCGCCGTCAAGGTGAGACTCTTCAGTCGGATGGTCATGTTGCCCAGACTCTGTTCAAACGCTGCCACAAGGTGAGCCTGCAGGAGGAAAACACAGGATGTGCAAAAGCTCAAACCTCCTCCTCATTAGATGTTAATGTTTGTCATTCATCTTCCAGGTGGGACTAGCATTCAACACTTCCACTTCCATGAGTCAGAGTTTCCAATTATAATATAAAACAGCTAAATAATTATGGCAAAGCGCAAATTCTCCAATCCAGGAATCTAAGAAACTGTTCAAGAAAAATCTGTCCGCTAACATTTAGTAAATTAGTAAATGAACACATTACAACAAAAATAAGCATTTGACAATATTTGAAAACTCAAATTTTTGAGAGCAAATCATAAGAATTTGTTGAACGAGGGTGAGCAGGTTCATCCGTCACTAGGTTGTATGAGGCTTTAGACTTTATGGATACAAATGATCTGCAGACGCCTGCAGGAAGTGTGTGCAAGAGTTGAGTAAGGTGGTGACTGATGTGTTGCTTCAGAGGACGTTCTTACATTCTCGGCCTCGGGGGGGCTCCGAGGCGTGTTCACATAATTCATCGTCTGTCAAAGCCCCTCCCTCACACCCAACATCCCGCCTCAATGACCCCCCACCCCCACCCACTACCAACTTTTTCTGCCTGCGTTTTTCTTTCAACACCCACACCACACCTTCTTGTATCCAGGCGTCGTTAGCTGTAAATCTTCAGTCCACATCTGCGACTGTCCCTCAGCAGTGCGCTGAGACCTGACTCTATGCGGTAATCTAACACCGCTGCTTTCCTTCCATATCTCTAATCCACAGTCAAACCACCAGCGTGCACTGATTCAGGAAGCAGAATACAAGCAGAGCGTGGAGAGACTTGTGCAATACAGAAGGCCGGGTGGCAGAGAGAATCGTGTCTGGAGACGCTTTAAGAGATCTTCAGATGGTTCTGCCAGATGTGAAATTACACCTTCTGGGAGTAAAATGCTCGGTGGGAGCTTTCTGTTCAGCATTTGATGAATATCATAAAATGTTCTTTCGTGTGATCCGGAATTGTTTAGGTGCCAAATTTAGTTTTTTAAATTGAGTTTGTCTTTTGATAAAACTACATAAAATTCTGTCTAGCACCATGGCTCGAGGAAGGGCCGTCGACGTAGTTAGTATTTTCACTCAAAGCATCCCTTTGCCAAAATACATCATCATAGCATCATGGCAGCAGAATACACACTTTACTATCATATTGCACTGATCACAAATTGATGGGAAAACATCTTTGACGTGCCTCAAAACTTAGTTTAAAATAAAATAGACTTATGTAATGCCCATAGTCCAAAACTTACTCACTAATATCTATTTGTTCTGTAATAAATACCTCAATAATACATTTATATTAAATCATTTTAAATCAGATTTTGTGGCAAAAGGTGCACAGCTTTTTTTGATAATAACCACAAAATGTGTTTTTTTAATGCGTATATTAGCGATTAAATGTGTGACACAATAAACACTATACATGTCCAACTAAGTTTGCTTCAGAGTGTGTGTGTGTGTGTACGTGTTTGCGTGCTTGCTAACTTACATTGGCACTCAGCTGCGTCGTCAGAGCGGAAACTTTTTCCTGGGAGGCGTCCAGCTCCCGACGCAGCTTGCGGATCTGAGGATGTGAAAAGAGCACGACATCAGAAAGCACCAAGACAAAAAGCATACATGCCTGCATCATAAATGTATGCGATGCCAAACACACACATACGCACGCATCCACACACACATACGCACGCATCCACACACATGAAGGAAACAAAAAGAATGCAACAAAACCAATGAGGGAGGCTCCCAGATTGGATTGATATGTTCAGGTGAAGAGATGAAACACGGTGGATGCATAAAAGAGCACATAGAGGTGTACACAGGTGTTCGGAGAGGAACAAGAGCCTGTTACAGGGTCAGTCACAATACAGTTACACATGTAACTAGATACAACTGTGAAAACGCCCCCATGTTCCAACATGTCCAGCCTCTGCACATAGAAAATTAAAGAGCAGAGAAAGCTACGTGATAGAAGTGCTGTGGGCGGGCTGACACTTACCTCAGACTGAGACTTCTCCTCATTCTGTAAAAACAAACATCACAGGAAGAGAAAATCATTAGAGGACGTACTGACTGACTGAATTCTGACGAGCTTTAATGACAAAGAGGAGCAGCTGAAGCTGCCGGAGGTCAGACCATGCACATGTCCTGTTTGATTTACTAGCTCTATGGAGACAAGATGTATAAACTGTGAAGGAGATTGTCTGGTGTAATATGTCTGGAAAGCAGAGATATCGCCCTGAAGGCATTTCACTCATCAGTGCGAGAGAGTGTGTGTGTGTGTGTGTGTGTGTGTGAGAGAGAGAGAATCCCATTGTCTCCATAGGCTGCACACAGCACAATAGTATGAAAAGACAGGCAGCCAAACATGTACACAGCGAGAGCTGGCAAAACAAGATGCTCGCATGACCACAACACACCCTGCTGATGCTGCTGCTGCTCACCAAAACAGTGAAACATGCAACACCCACATTTACATGTACACAAGCTGCACCGGGCTCCGAAACTGCACCAGGAAACGTTTTCTCTTAACCCGACTGGAACCGTTTTCACAGCTTCTTTACGTTGAGTGGTCAACTGAAATTTACAGACTCAAAACTGGTTCAACTGTAGCTAAAATTCAGTTTAACGTCTTTAATGTGCATCATTTTAAAGATTTCTTCTTTGGCGCCATCAAGTGGTGGTAGTGTAAAAAACAACACGATCTCTTTTCGTACAAAAACCTGACATCAGGACAATTTGGAACTATTATTACGTAAAAATCTATAGATTTAATGATTTATTTATTTTTCAAGAATGTAATAAGTTTCTCTATATGATATTTAAAGCATTAAAATCGCAGCAGACAAATATTTGCTATGTAAAGTTATAGAGGAGTTATGTCTCTGTCAGACTGTTAGCGCTCTTAGCACGTTAGCTGGCTCAGCCGTCCCCATGTTGAGAGTCATGCAGAAACAATAGAAATGCTCTAAACTATAGATTCATTCAAACTGTATTACACTCTCCAAAGAGGTTATATTCTTGGTCTGCTTGTTTGTTTTATGAGCAGAATATCTGAAAGCAGGATTTTCTTTTATTAAATTTTCAATTAACAAACTGAAATTAAAAATCTGATTAATTTATCCAACATTCACTATATGCATTGTAATGCAGATACATTTTGTCATTTTCTGATATTGGAATAACACATTTAGAGGATTGTGCAGTCTTGGTAAAAGTGTGTGCTCTCTGCGTGCTTTTCTGTAAAACAAAATGTCTTTAATCCATATTTTTAAGGCTTGTGGGAGGTCTAAACACGGCACTTATGTTGTGACAGACGCAACAAAGCAGAACAACAAATAATTATGATTTTTCATGTGGTTACACCTCCCAACAGGTTTCAACAGCCTCATGCGTCTGTGCAGGTATTGCAGTGTGTAGAGTACATGTGTTCTGTGGCACGAGTGGATGGTTTACTAAGTGGCATCTGCCCACACACGATCTACACACTCAAACAGAGCAATCAATCACGCACATGACCAGTTGATCCTAGATACACAAACAGAGTAGCCTGTCTTGGAAACAGACAAAACACAGATATCTCCTTCTGATAGAAAATCCTGTACCAGGACTGCATTGACTGTCAACATCATGGCAGGTAAACAAAAGTGTTTCAAGAAGAAAAAGGAATCCGAGGAAAACAAAAGTCAGAAAAAAATTCAAAGTACATGAAATTGCTGCTGTGTTGTCGATTATTTGTTGTTGTTGTGAAGCATTTATTGGCATATTAATTCACAGCCTCACTCAGACATGTCAGATTTATGTTAGCTCAAATCTGTGTAATTATATGTTTGACTTGCAGCTGTATCTAAGTCCAACAGAACGACAATAGAAGTACTCCTCCTCTCTACAGTCCTCCTCCTCATCCCTACCGTTTGCTGCCAGGATGTGACGGTGCCCGTCAGGGATAAAGTCGCCATCATTTTTGCCTCCACTCTCTTCCCCCCTCTGATTTCAAACCTGTGACTCTAAGGCTCAGAGGATCAGCCAGTGCCGAGCAGAGATCCAATGTCTGAGAGTTTCTCTGCTACACCTGTCCAGGTGAGTAAACCAGCCCACAGAGGGAGGAGGAGCTATGCTGTGAAACCTAGGCTCTGATTGGCTACTGTGTGTACAAGAGGGCTGTCCCAAGTTTGACTACAGCCAGACCTTTTTCTCACAGGGTGTTTGCGTCAGATCTCTGGATGGATTAGAGGTAAATGTGTAACTGCGCATTTGCCAACTCAAACACTCAATATTTCATAATCCCATATGCAAAAGCAGAAACTGGCTGCTCTGGTTTCCACATGAACTGTGTATAGACTTGCTGCTTTGCAAAGATTAAAAAAAATGAAATAATGCAAATTACAGAGAACTGTGATTTGTTTTTTCTATTATTCAGGATTGATTAATGAGGCTGATCTTGTTAAAGAACATATATCTGTACTTTTGAGGCTGACATCAATATCAATACTTGAGTCTAAATATCTATATAGTTTTTAAAACATGTTTTATTATGTTATTATATTTTACTGTTCAAAATGTTTTTTGGCATTGGTCTTTAGTGGACAAACGATGTAATGGCAAAACAAAATGTCCCCAAAAAGTAATGTAAAAAAAAAAAGAAAAAAGCTTACATCTATACTTAAATGAACTCTTGATGTTTTTTGTACTCACTGTGGAGTAAATGGAAGAAGTGCTGGAGACCAGAGACAGGGATGATCCATGAACTGAAGACACAAAAACCACAAGCAAAAGTAGGGATTAGAAAGTACATAAGTACACACAACAGCCCCATAATTATCAACATACCCCCCACACAAACCACCCCGACTCCACGGCCCGCCTCCTCCTGAGCATAATGACTGCAGCTCTGCAGTTACAAAGGTAAAACTCCTACACGTTATAGTCGGACTGTGGCGCAACTAATGACAGCCTGAGCATTACTCTGCTAATGACTCAGCCACTAATCACACATCAGAGGCCCGGGACACAACGCCAGCACTGTTTCCTGCCTGGGAGCAGATCAGAACGGATCAGCAGAGTGATGCCATCAACCACACAGAGAGGTTGGGCTGATTCCAGCAGATTCATTCATTCATTCACCTCACAGAGGGAACAGTTTACTGGGGACTCACTTTTATCTTCGTTCGCTCTACACAGCAATGTGTGCTGGGAGCCACATGAAAAGGAGAATATTAATAGATTCACTGCTGTCTGGTTTGAATCTTATCAATCAAGTGTGTGTAAGATATTTGTTTGTTCTGTTTGACCTTTTAATGAAGGAGCATGTGTACATGTTGCTGTTTGTGTTGGCATTGAGAATATATACTTTTAACCTGAGTTGTCAAAAACATTGTGCAAAACTGACAGAATTTTAGCGCGGCAAAAAAAAGTCAGCACGACTATTGCACAACATTGATTTGTGAGAAAAATCATCTTGAAAAGGTTTTTTTTATCCACGGTAACGTAGATATTGTGCACACGACTGTCTCATAATAAGAGAATGGGAACAGAAAGGTGGTGAAAATGACTAATGTAAAGCATTACTCTTGTTTTTATACTTTTTGAGCATCTATCTCTAAGAGATAAATATCTAAACTGTCTTTCTACAGATAAGGAGAGGTGATCATATATATAAAGGTGAGTGGGAGGGACAGGGTGGAGGGGATGAAGTGACAAGAGCTGACAAAGTGTTGGGTGGATGATGTGACTTTTGTCCCGTCAATCCAACAACGGTCGAGTAACTCTACACCTCAGCAACATACACATATACACATGAACCGCATGTCCTTGGCGGCCCTACACATTGTGTTCCAGCACACAAACAAAGAGAGAGAAAGTAACGCTGGAGGTTTCATCACGTCTCTCTCACGCCTCTCACTGTGATCCCTGTAATTATCTCCTCTTCTGAAAGGGAAAGACAGACTCATGGAGCTGGGAAAAGAGAGTCAGATATGCTACTGGGGGGGGCGCGCAATTATAATAAGTTAGTGTATGTGTCATTGTGCAAGTACACATTAGGTGTGTGCTACCTGTATATTTGTACAATAGTTTCACAATACTAGGAAAAGCTCAGGTAACTTAGACTTAAATCAGTTTACCACATTTTCTTTTTAATTCCATTTAACCCTTATTTTGCCGGGATAATCCCATTAAGATTTTGAATCTCAACTCAAAGGGGGTCCTGGCCAAGACGTCAGCGCAAAATATTCAAACAAGCACCACAAAAAAACACAAATAACAGTCTTCAAAAACAAAACGGCAAATGGCGTCAACCAAAGAATTGTCATTCAGTGTTAAGACACTGAATGACAATTCTTCCTGCTTTTTAAATCTTGCATGCTTACAAAATAATATAGTTTAAAGTGTCTCTGTAGCTCACGCCAAGATGAGGATCAAAAACGCTTTAAAAGCACTTTTACCAAAAACGGTGAAGGTTCTAGTTTGTTTAATTTGAAGGAAAGCAACGAGAGGATTTTGTTGTTTGTAATATTACTCTGTATTGCTGTTGCTTCTTTTTGATTGTTCCTACAATGATGAAGCGTTTTCTTGGTTATGAATAAACCTCTTTACTTGCTCTCTCACTCTGCACCTGTCCTATACACTACAGCCTATGCTCAGATAAAAACATCATGGTGATGATGAATAGCATCATGTACAGGCTCAACTGATTCTGAGAGGGTGTTTTATTCAGAATCTTGTAAAGAAAACTAAGCTTTCAAGTTGGAGTCTGGATTTACCAGGTTTTTTAAAGAACAGCAGAACACAGCTGATTCCCCCGAGCTCATTTACAAAACCAGTTTCAGCGTCACTGGAGTTGCTCTCCAACTCTTTGTCCGTCTCTCATGTTGCTCTTTCCTCTGTATTGATTTGTCTCCCCTTCACTGTGGCCAACTGTGGCTGCGTAACATTATTGAAGTGTTTAAGGCTGGATTCTTTCATTAAGGAAACCATTTTCAACACAATACTACGCCCACCTCACTCACAGTCGTGTTCCCCTTTGTTCCTCTGAATTAAAGTTCGGTGTTTCTACAGCCCTGAGGATTGAGCAGACTCCAAGTGGAGCTACCTCGCCTGAGCGGGGAGTCTGCCTGCTGGTGGGAAAAGCACAGCGGGGTACTTTTCCCAATAAACAAGCTTATGAAAAAAACAAAGCCGCACCAAAGCTGATTATGGATTTCTAAAGGGATGGAGGGCTTTTCTTAGAGGGGCGGTTGTAATCCTTCCTAATGTTCTCTAAACAAATGGAATAATACTTCTTTTGGCACGGGGGTGTGTATTAAGGAAGGGGAGGCTTCAGACTCATAGAGAGATGGCGGTATGCAGGATTACATTTTAATTACAGATCACACCAAAATGACCAGGACCCACACAGATTCACTGGATATTCAATACACTTGTCTCATATCCATCCATCTTTCTCATGTCTCCTCTTACCTTCCTCAAAGCCGTCTCTGAAGGAGCCCGATCGGCTCATGGTGCGAGTCTTCTCGTCAAGCGACATGCAGGAGTTTCTCAGGCGGTTGTCGCTGCAAGGGTCAAAGGAGACTTCCTGATTGGTCAGGCTGTTATTGCGCAGACCGGTGAGGGTGATCTGAGCTGCCGAGGTGGGGCTGGATGCTGTGAGAAAGATATATGAAATAATATAAGTCGAGCAAGGATGTCTATAAAATGTCAGAAAACTGTGAAAAAATGGCTGTTGGAATTTCCAAGAGTCCAAGGTAACGCCTCCAAATTGCTGGTTTTGTCCAAAACTGAGTTTACAATGCTTTGAAACAGAGAAAAGCAGCACCTCCTCACATTTGAGAGGCTGAATCTAGAGAATGTTTGGCAACTTCCTGCACATCCACTGATAATATTAAGAGTTATGATATCAAACAGAAGCTGAATCACGTTTCACTCAGTTGAAAAACTGCCAACCCCTCATTGTCAACAGCTTGATGGCAATACAGTTTGAGTTTAGAGTTCTAACATTTTGTCAACTAACAGAGATCAAATGTAGCCTACTCTGTGATTAAAGTAAAAACAGAAGCAGTGCTGGGTTTTGGCGTACCGAGCTGTCCGAAGTTGAAGCGGGTGCCGGACGGGGAGGTGAGGCTGGAGCTGGGGGAGAACGGGGAGTTACTGGCTGATTCCTGCAGCCCGCTGGTGGAGTGGGAGCGCAGCCAATCACGGGCCTCCTCGTGGCCTCGCAGCTGTGGGGACGGGCCGTACCTACAGGAAGTCAAAGAGAAGATTAAAGTGGAAGCGATAATGCAAAAAGTGTGGATTTTGTTACAGGACAAGATGATCTGGATTCAGATTTTTCTGACTTTTTACAATCAGTGGGTGGATTTTTTCTTAAGCAGCCAGATTAGTAGGATCAAACAGGATGGATCAGACACCAAAACAAGGATTTACAACACCATGAACATAAGACTGATTCTCGGCTGAGAGCAATAGAAACTAGAGAAGAAAAGCAGAAAAGAAGCCAAAGAATATTTGACCCCCAAAATCAGGCCCGCTACACAGCACAACACAGTTATAGCTCTATACCACGACAAAGTGACATGCCTCGTCACAGAAGCACAACACAACAACACATGTGCCAAGTGCCAAACAAAAACGTCAAAAGCATTTTTTTTTTTTTTTTAAGTGTGAGCACCAGCCTCAAAGAGTGAATGTAGACGCAGAAATAAAAGACAAGATAGAAGACAATTTGGTGAACCAGTGTGTAAAAGCGCAACACCTCCCAGCAGGAGGTGAGGTCAGTACCTGAGTCCTTTCTTAGGCAGAGTGTTTCTACCACAGTGTGGCCCTCTGTGGGAGAGAAACACTTTAGAGGAGGAAGGCAAAGGAGGCAAAGGAAACATGTGTCTGCATCTCTTAAAGACTACCTAACACTATTTTTAACCTGCAAAGATATTGTTCTTATCAACAAACTTACGCACTGCAAAAGAAATCTCGACCTCGATCTAATTTTTGGCTTTTACTCCAGGCCTAAAACAACTGGAAAAACTCTCAACAAAGAAAAAAGACTTAAGGAAAAAAGAAAACTTACACTGGACTACAGACAATTACTGAAACTGTTTCATTTGTCTCTTCGTACTGGCGGCATATTGTAATTTTCTCAGGGTTCAGGAATGATGAAACCTTAAGATAGAGACTTTTGCAGTGTAAAATCAATAAAAACATCCTGTGCCCATGCTGTTGGGTAAATGTGCACATACAAACTCAACCACAAGGCGGCAGTAAGTGAACACGGACCACTAAACAAAACCAGTGAAGGTGTCAACATCCACAAAGACAACCTCACATTTACACTCTCACAAATATCCTTTCATACTAGAGGTCCTCAAAATAACCACAAGCTACCACACAGAGCGCTAATCTCCACACTGAAAAGAAAACACAAAACGACGTCACAAAGCGTCTCTCTGTGGTTCTCTGTGATGCTCTCTGTGTGGCAGCAGGTGGTGGTTTAGTAGGAACCTCCACTGCTGTTTCACCAGAAGCCTAACACTGCACTTGGGCACGTTTACCTGTCCTGCTTCCGAGGCAGCGTGTTTCGGCTGAATAAAGGGCTAGCGGACGGGGAGGAGAGGGGACTGATGGAAGACAGGAGGGAAAACGCACAACAGACACAGAGAAAGAAAGATTTAGAGAGTAAAGATCATTCTTCAGAACAGAGATCAACTGCGAGATTCAATGACGATAATAAGAAAACTCAGTGAGGAGGGTGATGTCATATCCTCAAAGCTTCCGCTAATGCTATTAAGTTTCCTCTGAGGCATTCCTGTCACATTACGCAGTCGACCTGTCAGGATGGAATCTGCTACAATGACCACAATTACTGTTTAATCGACTGAGGACGCCACATGATTTAGTTTCTGTGCTCGAGTGCGGACAGAACGAGAACAAGAAGCGACACCTCGCCACGACGGATGCTTTCTGCATCATCTCCATTCTGGATACATTAAAAGGAATTCATGTCAGAACGGAGCAGGATTTCAAAATGGTCAATGTTGGAAGAAGTGTTTGAATCCTTAAGTGACAGTATCAATGTGAAAAAGTAAAAATATATATACTTATACATTATAAGTAAAAGTCATGCATTCCAAAAATAAAGTACACTTGTTTGATCAGCAAAATGCATTATATCATATATCCTTATACTGTATTATTAAGCAACATTTGAATGTTTTTGCTGGTCGAGGTGAAGCCACTTACTAAACAATGAATTACATTGTTAAACTGATCATATGTTTTGTATGTAAAACTTTAACCTGCACAGTAACTAGTCATATTAAGCAATGAACTCGAAGTATTAAAGAAACACTATGTGACTTCTAAAAGAAGCACTCCGCTTTTTATAATTGAAAAGTTAAACTCATCAGCAATAAAATGCACCCTTGCTCAGTTCAAAGAACTTACAGGTCTTATTTGTATGACCAGTAGCTTATGGTGGCTAATGGCTAACACATTGTATTTAAGGAACCAAGAAACAACCTCATATACCACACTGATGAAGGCAAGATGCTACACTGGAAAACAGATCACAGACTTTGAAGGTTATTTTTGGAAAAGGAAAAAAAGGTTTTGAAATAAATGGGACATTCTGTGTGTCCTCACCTCTCAGACATGCCGGTCTTGGCGCTGCCGGTGCGTCCCAGAGCGGACAGGGTGTCCTCCCTGTGGGCGCCAAGGCCGCCGCTGCCCAGGCTCATGTCGATGGACTCGCTGCTGGTGTGCATGCTGCTGACGGAGGGGTATCCCATGCTGCCCGCCCCGCCGTGCCCGCCCAGCGTGCTCTCCCTGCTCTGGGCGGAGGAGCTGCTGAAGGTGGTGCCCCACGTCAGGCTGTTGCAGGGGCCGGTGGAGGAGTAGACTGAGCCGGGACTGGAGGCCTGTGGAGGGGCGGAGAGGATGTTATAGTTTTAAAAACCAGTGAAGTCTGTGTATTCTAGCACCGAAACAATACAACAACAAAAAAATCGAATAATATCTGAAGTAATTCTTCCAATCAGGCAAAAGTCCTACAAATTCCCTTAAATGTGTTGCTTTTCTCAGTTTCTCTGATGCAGTTTCTCTTTTATTTGACGTTCCATTTGCTTTAAGGTCACTGACTATTTCAACTTTTGAACCGAAGCTTACTGTTTGTAAAGACACGACGGCTGCTTAAAAACAATGGCCTGTGAGTCACTTTATGATTGAGACTTCTGATTAAGTCCTATGAATCAGGAGGTGACGGTGAGTTCATGACTGAGCATGCTCAGACTTTGCTGCTCTGTTGTAATATGTAGCCTACAGTTAACCAAACAAGTGCCTGTACGGCTCATCTCCACTGAACACACTCATTAGTACTTAAAGGAATTCATCAGGTTTGTGGTATTAAGTCCGGTGACAACAAAATCATCCTCCTGTCCCGGCCAAAGCCCTGTCATTAGCTCCCAAACACCTTCAACACACACATCATCTCTAAGCTCCAAGGTAAATAATAATTTCTAATCTAAAACCCAAACTTATCCTTCTGGTGTGACAGTGGACCACAAACCCTAGAGCTAAAGTGTTAAAGTGACTGTAGCTCAAAAGTTAAAGGGACACTTCAAACTCAAATACAGTATATATATTTTTCTCTTACCTGTAAGTTCATCACAACAACAACAAAAAAAGAATATTGATCGTAGCTGCTTTAGCAAATCACATAAGTTATTACAATTTACTAAGGACGAAATAAATGTAGTTGGTATTTGCAGTCTTGACGAAAGACATTTCCGCCACTAGCACAGCTAAAAGTTACACAAATGCAACTCCAAAATAAAGTTGCTTCCCCTCCTTTGATGTTAGTAATGGGTGGCGGGCAGTCGGAGAGTGTGTTCTGCTAAAAATAGCAGCGTAACTAATGAATAAGTAGCTGCTCTCGTGACTCAGTTGTAAGGATAAACCACGCTACTTCAGTCATTTAAAGGAAATGTATTTGATTTTTAAAACTCATGAATTCAAAAGACAAAGAAAAAACAAAAACACCTTTTTAACTTTTCTACATTGTTTCTGCAAAAGCTTTATCGTACAACTGTTGTCATTAATTACACCGTATGTTTACCATGTAAAAGCCAGTAATCCTCCGGGAGCTTGTGGAGGATTTTGTTATCTATGCTCTCATAATTTTCCAGAGTATGTTGACTGACAGATTGATCCATTGTCTCCATTATTTGTTTACATGTTCTTGCTCACCTGCTCGCTGCCCAGCGTCCCCATCCCTATTCCCTGCACTCTGCCTCCAAACATTGGGCTGCTGGTCTCGCTTTCCACGCCCCCCAGGCCTCCGTCGGGGGACTCCAGCACTGTGCCCACATGGTTCATGGTGGCGTGGGGGTTGGAGATAACAGTGGAGTTCTTCATGTTTTCAGCCGTGGTGACCGGAGCCTGTTTACAGGGCTTCCCACCAAACAATCTGTGGAAAACCAGGGAGGGAAGGAAGGGTGTGGAACTAAAGTATTAAAAGAGCAGGGTGCCATTTCCTAATATCCTTTTTGTTCCTATGAATTTCAACAAATCACATAATCGATTAATAAAGGGTGGACTCTGCCAGAATGATGGTTGAACTTCTGTCGACGTGTGAGCATAATAGAGAATATGATGCTATAAAAAGTCCATATATTAGTGTCTATATCTACATGTTTTGCAGTGCATGTTGTACATAATAATATCTTTTAATGCTTAATTATTCTACATTGCTTTTAAATAAAGTTTTCAGGTCTTGAAGTTGCTTGAAGCTATCTTTTTTTTTTTGAGTATTACTGTAAATTTAAAACTGATGCTGCTGCAAGGTCATGAGGTTGTAAAAATCATTAGTATTCATCCTTCAGGGATTATGAATATTAACAGCAAATTAAACAATAAATTTCATGTAAATATTCATTGCTGTTCTGGATCAAAGAAGCGGAGAAGCAAGCTGGCTGAGTGTGCCACCCTGAAGGTCCCGCCGCTAACAGGACAAAAACCCAGTATTATTCTTTACTTTGCAGCCAGGAGAGGTAGAGTGAGTGCTCAGATCTGAGTCAGGGCAAACACACATGCACACGCACACACACACACACACACACGCACGCACACACACACACACACACACAACTCTCTCCTGGTTCTCTACTAATCCTGGGTTACAGCTAAATGGCAGACTATGACGACTGGAGCCGCGGTGGGCTATAATGGCAGCACACAGTCTCTTTGAAGAGTTATCACTCCCTCACATTAATGAGGGCAGAGCGCTGAGGTAAGACTCAGCTCCCATTACCCAGCACCACACCCTCCCTTCTCCAGCCTTCCCCCCCGCACCGGCAAGGCTGAGGCTTGGCAGCTGATAAGCCCGGCTCAGAGCCTGCCTTTCACAATGGCCTGATTTAACCTCACTGAGCGTCTGTATGTGTGTGTGTAGGTGTATGTGTGTGTGTGAAACAAGCCCACACGTGTGATCATTACTCACCACTGTTTATCCTTTAATGTGACTACATGATTATTAACTTTTCAAATGACCTTCTCTCTCTGTCTCTCTCTTTGTGTGTTTGTGTCTATGTCCTTGCTTTATGTTGGTACATTCAAGCCCATACAAGAAGGCCCCACTCAGTTAGCCGTCATTATGTCTGCAGGATCACTGACAATACAAATTATATTCTGTGTGTGTGTGTGTGCTCACCTGCGCAGTGTGGGTGAAGAAACCTGCTGTCTTCCTGTCAGGGGAACGGTCGCTGCTCCTCCACTCTGCATCCCGACTCCGCTCCTGAGGTTGTCGATCTCAGAGACGCCCTTCTCCCGATCCGTCTGATTGGCCAGCAGGCCTCCCGAGCCGTTGGCCTTGGTCATGCCGATTGAGTTTTTCCCGTGAGTCGTGACGGAGAGCACGGCGGCCTCGATGCTGCTGGTGGAGGAGCGGTTTCCATTGCGGGCGGCTGCTCCCGAGCGGCTTGGCCTCGGCAGGCTGCGGTACTGCAGTGTGGAGCGGGCGCTCATGGGGAGGAACCCGTCATCGTGGTGGCCCAGCATCGACGCGCCATCCTGCCCGCCGGCCTTCAACCCTCCTGCAAGTGAGCGTGCCCCAGATTTGGGCATCTTCCCCAGGGTGGCTGAGCCACTTGTGATCGTGGCGCCGCTGGCAGTAACCATTGTCACCATCCCGTGGCCCTGCTTCTTGAAGCCGAATGTGCTGGTAGGGGTGCGCGAGGTGTGTGAGGTGTGTGAGGTGTGCGAGGTGTGTGAGGTGTGCGAGGTGTGTGTCTGGGAGTGGGGGTCTGAAACGGTGTGCGTGAGGACGTTCGTCGTCGATGTGCGGCTGGTGGGGATCGTCTGTTTCTTGGCCTCATCGCCGCTGCTGCGTCCTGCGTCCGAGGGCGAGCGGTGAAGGCCGTTAGGACGAGGAGAGAGACGACCCTTTTCTGACACCTTGACATCATCCGTCTTACCTGCAGGACACACGGTACAAGACATCAGTGGGGTGTGTGGGTGCTACTGTTTCATGATTTCACACTCACAGAACTAAACTGTCAGCTTTTTAAGAGCTGGTATTTCTATTTCAGAAGTGAGAGGATAAGGAGAAAGTTGGAAATGTGTATTTAGTTTTTAATTTAAACTATAATCTTTTTATTAAAAACTTTTATTAGTGGTGGATGTCTGCGTTACCTGAACTGTGGGCCTTGAGGCCACCGGAGCTCGTGGAGCCTGTGCTACTGCTGCTTTTAGTCCGGGGGGACGTCACCCCCACCTGAGTGCTCATGCCTCTCCTCCAAGAGCCCGTGTGGGACACGGAGGGGGTCTTCCTCCCTGAGCCGCCCTTGTCGGACTCGTCAGAGATGTCCGAGGGGTTCCGGCGGCTCCACTTGGAGCCCGACTCCATCCTGACCCTGCTGTCTGACCCGCCGTCTGGCCTTTTCACCTCGTCTCCTGACCAGGCCTGGTGCACCACTGTGGAGGCCGAGTGCTTCTCTGCATCTGTCACGGGCTGGGAGGACACACAGACGCCCTTTAGGTCAGATTTATTACTGCTGAAGATAGCGTCTTTTATGAGACGTTGCCAAGTGCCTCTAAAAAGCACTCCATTTTATGACCGCAGCCATCATGCTGTGTGTAATGCCGCCAGCATCCACACCGACGTCACCTGAGCAAATAGTGAGGAAGCTGTTTGGCCACATCAGGGCATGAGCAGAGAGAGTGCTCCTCATTCTTTGGACTGTGAGAGAAGCAAGTCTCAAGTCTGTCAGAACAAGCTTTATGTCACGTCACGTCTTCATAAGCAAATTGCAAATCTTTCGGGTCTTTGAATGGTGAATAAAATTACTTTCAGCTGTTGTCCTGGTGCCGTCTTATTCATTTTTCTCTTGATCTGGGACTTTAACAAGTTAAAATGATTTGGGACTAGAAGATTTTTGCTTTAAAGTTTCAAGTTAAGTAACTTAATTTGTCTTTTTTCAAAATCTAAAACATATTGAAGGTGAGTTAGTGGTGAACTTTAAATTTCTTTTGACTTTTCTTTCTTTTGAGTTTTATCTGGTGAACTAGCTAACAGCTGTTTGAGGGATGATGGCTGCTGCTCTGCTCTAAGAATTTAAAACAGACTTAATCAACCTGCACTGTGTCAGGCTGCTGTACTGAGAGAAAGGCTCCTTTGTGTCCTCCTTTGTTTTTTCTTCAGCACCTCTGCAGCCATAATGGACGCTCGTCACATGGTGCCCGGCTCCACATCAGCAAAAATAACGTGACTCAGCTGACAATATTATTATTATTATTATCGTATCACCGATCATTTTCCTGAAGCGTAGTGGCTCCTAATCAGTGTTTAATGATTTGAGGCCAGAGTCAACATCAGCCTTAGCTTTGTGAGTTCACAGCTGTAGTCTCACATTCTTCTCTGAATGCAGAGGAATGCTGGGACGGACTGGGTTTTGGGAAATGAGGCCAAGTGGAAGGATACGGTTGCATCAGTTTACCACTTAATACATCTAGTTTACATTTATTCCAATCATTTCTCAATGCCATAGGAAATTAGACAACTTAACGTTTGTGGATCTTTCATTAAAAATCAATACACAGTCCAAATGTGCAACTTTGGTATTTTATACTTAGGTAGAGCGCCGGTGTTATTAGAATTTGTTGTGTTGGAGAACAGAAAGTGTAGCTTAGTGCTAAAATATTTTCAATAACAAAAGACCGGATCAAGCTGAAGGTAAAGCAAAACATTATATTTTTATATTTATTATCCTTTCCACAATGTTGTTGTCAGACACTTAATACAATCTGAGCCAGTCTGTGGTAAAAACAAGAACTTTTAGTAGATGTACATTGACGGTGAGGAATCGATTAGATTATAGGCCTAAGCGCCATCTGGAGTTTTCTTGCTAAATTCTTTTAATTTTGTCGCCATTGGTCACTTAGACACAAAAACATGGGAATATAGGGTTGAAAAAACAGAAGTTACCCTTTACCTGCTACCCTAGATAACTCATGCTGCATCAAAATGTCACATAATATCCTTTCTTCTGGACACTATAAACACTCGAGGAAACATGTTTGAGTGATTATTTGCTGGAGGAAACTTCCAGTTGTTCATGCGGGCGTCTAATAACCGACAGAAGATTGTGATGTAGCTATTCCTGATTCATTTTGGGTATGTTATTTTAGGCCTTTTTTCCGAGGGATAGGACTAGGGTTGAAACCAGATCCAAAATGAAGCTGGATACCTCAACCCGTGGCACAGTCATGAAAAAAGGTTCTTCTTAAATATGGATGTCAGTGTGAGTCTACCTGCGCGTTGAGGCCCTTGCGCTTTGCAGCGGGCGTGTTGGCGTAGGAGGATATGGAGGAGCTGGTGTTGATGTCATCTGTGTCGATGTTGTCGCTGATGCCACTGCTCACAGAGCTGCTGTCATCCCAGCTGGACACATAGAGGGAGAGAGAGACAGGGAAGTTCACTTTAGTTCTCTTTATACAATACATCTTTCAGAGTGCAGAGGGTGGGGGGGGTCCACTTGGCTATTTGTCTGTTCAAAAAGGAGCGATACATGTTCCCAGACATTAAAGACGGTCAGCAGAGCCACAGCAGTGAGGTGTGATGCTTCTTATACCTTGAACACAACACTTCTTTATCAGTCAGCTGAACTCATTAGAGACAAAGTGCTTTTTTTTTGAGCTGCAGGGAAATTGTCTTTTTCTGCAAATTCATTGAAAAACCTGTTTCATATTTGCAGTTACAATATCCCTTCTGTAGGTGTGTGGGTATGGTTGTTTAGGAGTGATTATGGTTATGCATACTGTATGTGTCTACATGTAAAACATATTCTGTATACTTCATTTTAGAAGGACAAGTATGAAGTTATCCGTCGAGTTGTATTTCTGATAAGCGTATGCCTTTGTATGAAAAGAAAAGAATAACTTAACTACGGCGTTAAACGGAAATAAACTGAAAAAAAGATGGATCCTCTGACTGCCTGGTGATTCTCTTCCTTTATTCTCCATCTGAATTGACTTCAGCCACACACACACACACACACACACACACACACACACACACACACACACGCTGAATGGGGTTGTCTATCATATGAACAAAGGCTTGATGGAGGGGTGACATCACGGGCTGTGTGTGTGTCTGTGAGTTGTTTAAACAAACCCATCTGAACAGAGCAAACACGGCGGGAGTTAATTAATGCAGGATATTTGTAAATTATGTGTGTGTGTGTGTGTGTGTGTGTGTGCGCATCCACTGGGAGTCTGTGGGGGACAGGAAGCACGGCCAGTTGGCAAACATCACCCTGAAAGGACCAGAGGGAAGCTGGTCATGGCCAGTACAGGGTTGGCTGCACCACAGGGCGCGCGCACACACACACACACACACACACACACACACACACACACACACACACACACGCGCACACACACACACAGAGCTGGTGTTTTCAGTTTTCAGGGGTCTATTTAATCAAGACTAACAATAGATTAAAAACTGTTCAAGAAAGTCTTCGAAGTGTCCAACACAAAGATATTCAGTGATACCGTACAACGAGATTTTCAACAGAGGAAAGCAACAAATCTTCACATTTGAGCAGCGGAGAACTTTTGACATTATTGCTTGAAGCATAATTTTATTGCTGTAGATACATTTTCTCTATAAAACAAAGATTTTTCCTAAATAAAAAACAGTATCAAATTATCCAAGTTCCCTATAAACAAGGAAATATGTCTAAGCATCTGACCACGCTTTCAATGCCAACTTTTGATACTCAACATTTTACTCTATACTTAAAAAAAAGCACTGAAGCGCAACAACCAGCACTTCATATGACCTCTGATTCATCATTCATCTGTCAACTTAGATTTTCAGACGAGCAAGAACACAAGTCAGTGCAGCGTTGTTCAGCAGCCACCTGAACAACAAAGTCCTGAACGATTCCCACCAGCACATGAAGACAACATAATTACAGCTTTAAAATAAAAATAAACAAAAACAAAGATTGGTGAGTGGCAACAAACCCAGATTCAGATCACTAAAATCTAATCAGCTGGTTTTTTTTAAGCCGAATCGGTTGCTGGAGTTTAGACAACCTTGTAACAACCTGACGAACAGTAAAAACACAACTTTTCCTGTGGAGTTACTGGCAAAATCAATCAAACCGCAGCAGAGTGGAGACACTCAAAAGCTGAAAGCATCCGTGGAGCAGACGAGCGGAGAGGTGCTGAGAGATTTAAGTGACCACAACAGTCTCAGCTCGTCCGTACAGCCACAGGGGAAAGTCCCCCCACCACACACACACACACACACACACACACACACACACACACACACACACAGAAAGAAAGAAAATAAAGATATACAGACAGCCACGAAGAAACAGACATTTACAAACCCACACAAATCTCAGCACTTCCTGATCACTGACTGAACCAAAGTCATCATTAGGCTACTATAAGAACAAAGTTCCCTTGTGCACACACACACACACACACACACACACACACACACACGTATCTACCTGGTCAGGGTGCCTGGGTTGCCGTGGGAACTAGAGCGCTGCGGGAAAATGGCAAGCTGGACAGAGAGCTTCATGACTTCATGCCGCCGAGAGAGTTCACACAGCCAAATGTCTTTCCCACTCCTTCTCTGTCTGCCTCTCTCTCTCTCTCTCTGAGCTTTCTCAATGTCTCTCGCCCTGGCAGTGTTCCTAGATCGAGCTCCTTTGTCGCTCGTTGCACTGATGGTTCATCCCCCGAGCACAGTACGTCTCTCTCTGGACTAACGGAGAGAGAAACTGGGAGGGAAAGAGGGAAGGACCTGCCCTGCTGCTGGAAACATGAGCCTCCCCCGGGACTGTTAACCACTTCATTGCTGCAGCCATGAAACTAATAGAGCACAAGACACACACACAAACACACCCCGAGTCCTAAATAAACCACTTCAGCCCAACAAGAATCAAACAGGGGACACAAGTCAAAGCCACATGATCACAGACAAACTCCCCGAAACTGCAGGACAATCCCTGTCCCTGTTGCTTCATGTGTGTTTCCCAGCTATGATTTGTGTGTGTGTGTGTGTGTGTGTGTGTGTGCAAGACTGCAATTTCCCAGACAGATCCACCCTGACTATCTGACAAGCCAGTGCTAATTAGAGATCAGGCAAAGCGGCGTGGCCCAGCCCACAGCCTCCCGCTGGCAAAGCAACCCGCCAGTTAACCACCACGGAGCCCTTTACGGGCCAATCACAGGAGGCGGAGACGTTAACTGCTGGCCGCCCCCGGGAGGAAGTGGTGCCAAACGCAGGCCGACAAGGCCGGCGACTAATAGATCATTGCACTGAAGGGAAGAGGTGAAGCGCTCCTTACTCTTCCTCTTAAAAGGGTCAGTTCACCCAAATCACAAAAACATCTTTTCTCACTTACAGTATTGAGCCATTTCCATTTTTAACATTACACAATGGGGGTCAAAGGGATTTTATTTCTGATGCTCAGAGAAATGGAAACTGATTGGATTTTGGGTGAACTGCCCCTTTAAATCAGCTGGAGAATGTAGTTAAAACTTTGTGAGCAAGCAAAACCTTAATTCTCTCACTGACTCGAGAGACTGAAAGGCCTGTAAAGCGGTCAGAGAGGACACTAATGGAGAAGGAAAAGTGACCCAAATCAAGACATTCCAGAGAGGAACCTCGCCTCTCACCAGGTCCCTTTAGCAAGTTTTCTGATTTCCCAAAGGGGTCAGAGTTCAGAGGCCGAACCTCCAAAGAGGAGAGCAGAGTGGGGGAGGCATGGGGACCAATGGAAAAAGAAAAGACTGCCATGTGGATCAACCAATAGGAGTGTCCTGAGAAAAAGCCCGTGGTTGTTGTGTTTGTTTAACTTTTCTTATGTGCGTCCCTCGGGACCGCGGTCGGTTGGACCGGCGGTGCTGTAACCCCCCTCCTGAAAAACAAAACCCATCCGACGCTGGCACATGCACACAGGATCTGTGCCGCAGAAATGTACACACAGACATGCGGCCACAACAGAGCCGTGAAGCAGAAGTAAGGGGATTTCCTGTGTTTGAGGGGCGACTACTGGTCCTCACACTGCAGCTGGATCATATAACCCCAAAATCTCTGTCTCTGTCCACACAGACGGACAGAGAGACCGGGGGAGGAAGAAGGGAGGATTTTAACTGTCTCTCTGACTTAAAGCCCTCAGGGTTGAAGGGTACACAGACGACAGGTAAGGCCTGTGTACGTTGTACAGAAACATCATCAGGATGTGGTAATGTTGAAGCACAGGACAAAGGAGCTGGTGTCGTGACTGTCCTGACACTTTCTTCCTGTCTGTAAATATGGTTTGCATAATGGCACAACATGAAAAACTAGTTTTTTTGTCATGGGGCCAGGCCATAATACAACATGATCGTTGATCAGTTTTCAGTAGAATCATATCTTTATGATTTGAGCTTGATATGGTTTGAAAGGTTTTTTACACAAGCGCCTACAATACCTGATATTTGGTACCAATATCACATGATACTTCTTTGATGCCTTACTTTGAGGGATATTAATATGTTTCTCTGCAAAACCTTATTATTCATCTAACTATAAAGCAAGGAGTCTCCCATAACCATTCAAGCTCAATGCCTCACCTCAACCATACGTGGTCAATGCCTAAACTTAACCATCTCTCAAGAGTTCTGCAACTTGTGGATTACCTTCTAGACAAGACCAAGCAATCCCACTCCGAACGGGCACGCGCTCTGAATACGAACACAGCACATCCTAAATTTGGCAACAAAGTTACAAACAAAACAAAAGAACCTGCACTCGCAGCTGGTCTTTGCCTTAGGGTTCAGATTCATTTATTAGTGTTTGAAGGTGTATCAATAGATGCAATACACTCTTGAGTATTTAGATCTGACATATGATATGATCCAGTACAGGTTTTATTACCTGTACTGGGTTGACTTAATGTAATGTTTTTTACATATATGTGTTTAATTTTCACAGCAGAAAAAAAAATAGGAAAATGTGGCAAATGAACACTAAAATCTACGTCAAACATCAGTAAAACTTGACAACATTTAAGGTTCAAGGTTCAGCTCAAATGACTCTTTTTATTGAAAGACAAGAGTCAGGACTAAATGGTCTCAGTGTGAGGGTGAAGGAGGCAGTGAAGGGGCCGCTGGGACGGGACGCGACACATTCCAGGCCGGAGCCCAGGACCGTGTGGTACGAAAATGACACAGCTGTCCCTGCACTGACGAGAAATGACAGGACTGGACATCACACTCAGGAATGTCTCTCTCTCTCTCTCTCTCTCTCTCTCCCCCGTGTCTGGTCCCATTGTCTCCCGTCTTTGGGAAAACATTTGCTATCCCTCTGGCTGCCACTCTTTCCTCCGACTCATCTCTTTCTCTCTCGCTATCGGTTTGATG